GAATGTGCAGACATTTTTCGTACATATTGAAAAGTGTCTGTAAATTTATCAAAAATTTTGCCCGCAGTTTCACGTTTCATATAATCTTTATAGATAATGACATCAAAAAGGTTAATTTGATCTTCTTCGATTCTTTCAATTTATATTTTACATTGGGATCAATATCGTTTAGTTGCTCTAAGAATTCCTTGAATTTTTTTTTCATTGGTATAAAGTAATTCAAGATCAGTAGTAGCAAAATATATTTGTTTTAAATCATACATGTTGTCTTACTTTCTGTACTCAATTTAACTTTGATGTACACCGTACTTTCTTAATAAACAGCTCCATGACAAAAAAACCACGGTCTAACAAATATATTAATTAATTATGAAATTGTAGATAAATAGGTATAAAAAAACTAAAACTTGAATAATTTACAAACATTAATGCGTACGAGTTAGGTCATAAAAGTTAAGATAAGAAAATTTTAAATGCATCTGGAATCGTCATCGAAGTTGAACGAATAAAACCACAGCCTAGACGTGCACCAGCGTGTCCTGTTGTAAGGGAATCACTATAACTACCCAGACCCAAATCATCAACATCTTTGTGAATAACAATTGTATGATTTAAAATCGATTGTGAACCTTTGGCTAATTTAATTATTGGATCACTAATAAGAATCGTCGCATTTCCATATTGATCAGCATAGATATTTCCTACGAAAAAATATGATGATCAGACGTTTGCAACTAGATGCACTTTTTTATTTTTAAATACCTAAATCTCCAACGTGACGTTGTGTAAGTGATGCAGTGGGTGCACCGTGACGTTGGTTAGACGGATTGAAATGTCCACCGGCAGCGGTACAATTTGGTTTACCCTCATTCACTTCAAACTCATGCACATGAAAACCGTGATATGTCTGATTTGGTTCCAGACCGGTTAATGTTCCTCGAATAATTACTGGACTCACATCACGTGCTTGAATAAAATAGAGAGTACCCATGACCGATTCACTTGCATCGAAATGGACATTGGCTCTTGCAAAAATTGGATGTAATTTGCCAGTTGAAGAAGCAGGAATAAAAACACTGACTAGGAGTACAAGGAATAACATTGTTAATCTAAAATAGAAAAAAATTATGCATGATTGGCTTGTGCCCAAAAGCGTTAAGCTGGGACACGTTAGGAGGGGTTACAAATTCTACTTTTCAAAAGCTTTTGTTTTTTATCGCTGGAAGCTCTTAGAAAACAAAACTTCCTGCTATCTTCGTCAGAACGTTGTTACCCTTCTCCTAACGTTTAGATCTCGGATGATTGGATCTTAATCCACGTGGTCCATGACACTACTCACATAGAATTGAATGATCTACTTCATTCAAACAAAATACGCGATGAAATATTGAAAATCAGTTAGATTAAACTGCTTACTTTAAAAGTTAGTAATTCGTTTGTATATATTGTTTTCGAATGAAGTTCGAGATATTTATAGGTTCGTATCGTACGTAGTTCAAAGATGGCCTATATAAGTTTTGTTGTATCTATTGTATTTTTCTCTTCTCTGTTTCTGACGATTTCATTTAAACACTGCACATGTTTCTACAGTATTTTACGACTGAATACGCACGAGATTTCCTCTTTATTGAAAAATAAAAAAGGTACTATTCTTAC